AGAAAAGAAAAAAAAGAAAAAAAAAAGAGGAAAAAAAAGAGGAAAAAACCAAACAAAAACAAAAACAAAAACCAAAAAAAGAAAAAAAAGAAAAAAGAAAAAAGAAAAGAAAAAAAAGAGGGGAAAAAAAAAAAAAAAAAAAAAAAAAAAAGAGAAGGCCAGAGAGACTCTTCACAGACCTCAAAAGGAAAAAAAGAGCAGAGTAAGAAAGCAGGTGATGAAGAGCACTATCAATACATTTGAACATATTTCACAATTTTTCCCTATAGCCAATGCATTTCTATTTACATGTACTAAGTATCTGTATCACGTTCTATTTAAAAGTGGTTGAAATCAAAGAAAGGCTCCTTCCAGAACATAAGAAGGCATCAGAAAAATAACAACTTAACAAATTTAATGCTGATTGCATGGGGCATTAAAGCTGCAACAGAATTCTTCACTCAAGACTAAAAAAATCTTAATATGATCTGTCAATACCATCAAAATTTGCTGCATGAGGAGGTTAACCTCCAAGGAACTATAGTGAGGTTATTTTGGGCAGGGAGTCATCATCATACAACCTGCCCGTCCAATAGAAACTTCTGCCAACATAAAGAAACAGCTACTTAGGGGTAATGTCCTGGCCCCTTTGTGGCATGGACCTTGTCTTTTCATCCCTCCACAAGGCTTCTTCAGTTCTTCTCCATTTTTGTTGTGTTTCGTATATATATTCATACATGGATTTTTTTTTTCAACAAAATGAAAAGAAAAAAAAAATCTGTGCTGAAGCATCCTGATTGTTTAAATTATAACCACCATAGATAACCAGGCACATCCAACTTCTGCTTTGAGTGACTGTTTCCGATTGCCTCACAAACCAGTCTTTCGTGTTCAACCAATAACACACAAAACAAAAGGACTTGAGCATTTTGAAGGTAAAAGCTCTTTTGCTTTCCCTTAGGAAAATATTGTCTTACGGAAGGAAAAGCAATGCTTGCCAGCTAACATTACATTTCAAAAATACGTATTTTAATAGTCAATATCAAGCAAAGATACCCATAAAACAAAAATCCTGAACTGCAAGATATTAGAAATGTTATAGACTATATATATCAAAAAAACACAATTTCTGCAAACTCATTGGTTTCTTCTCCAGTTTTTAATCAGCAAGCTGTGCAGTACACCATGAAAAGATCTTTCTGCGTTTGCCTGGTGAACTGGCACACCAAGAGTGAAAGATTTCTTCAGCACCAACTTAGCCAGCCAAAAAAAAAAAAAAAAAAAAAAAAAAGAAAAACGTCTCTCTCATTCACTCTTACTGAGTTGTTTTCTGGTAGAGCCCTTGAAGAGATGGAGACAGGAATGGGAAGTTTGCAGTGCCTATTGTAGACATCTGACAAAGAAGAGAGACATAGCATCTAGGTTTAGGCACCAGTGCTTACTCCCTCAGAGGGCGTAGGTCTGTGGCATGAGTCAGTGCTCTGAGGTTAGATGCTTTCATGTTGGGCAATGGGATACTTATCTGTAGTTAAGGAATTTCATTATCAGTGAACAAATGGTGAGGATAAAAAAAAAAACAAACCCAAAAAACAAAAAAACAAACCAACCCAAACCCAAAAACTACAGCCTAGTGTTTTTCTGAGTAGTTCATCTCAGTTTCTTTTGCCTGGAAATCTCCACTGACTGAAAATAACACTGCCTCCTATAAAGATGAACAGGCAGTGTTCAGAACAAAAGGCACAAGGACAGAGCTACTGAGAAGTCACAGGCTTCCTTCCCAAGTTTGATGAAGATCCTATTCCTTACTGATCTGCACTGGTTTAAAATGGAAGGCTTTCAAACTGAAACTTTGGTGTTTCAAAGAAATTTAGGGGCATGGGACCAGAGTAATAAGTAATATCCATTGATGATGGATACTGGAGGCATTAAGGATATTCTAAAGGTAAAAAAAGGAAACTATTAAAAACTACCGCTGTTCAAATGTGGGATGGCTTTGGAAGGCACTTGGCTTCTGCTAACAGGGGAAAAAAAAAAAAAAAAAAAAAGAAAAAAAAAAAAGATGAAGGGAGCTAGGAAAGAAAATTTTCACCTTGATCCTTCTCCACTGAGAATCTCCTTTCTGGACTTGCAGATATTCAATTTTGGGCAAAACCAGCTTGCTGACAATAACACACACACAAAAAAATATGGGTAGGCAGGGAAGACTGGTGTTTGACTCTTTACCTGACTGAAAATGTGAACTACCTTGTCTTCATTGTTACTTTAAACCAAATAAGCTAAATGTTAGCCAACATAATTGTTAGCCAAACTTTTTCCTCACTTGTGGTAAACAGATTCCAATGTTTCAATAAAAATCACATTGACATACATTAGACTCAGCTTTTGTAGACAAGTGTTTTTGCAGAGCTACTGGAGGGAGCAGAAAACCAAAACTGTGGCTACATAAAGTGCAATTCTCTCTAAATGAAGTGAAAAATGATTGGCACTTCCATAACTGAGTTTGCACCCTCTACAAATATCTTGTTAATAAAGTGAATCTCTCGTTCATTCATTCGTTTGTTTTAATAATACAAGTCTACAAGTCGTTCAAAAGCTAGACTTGAGTTACTAAATTCACGAGTTCTTGCAAGATTAGAATTACAATGAATAGTTAGGAGAGTTTTGGTGCAGAAGGGATGTAATTTTGAAGACCATAATTCAGAAAGATGAAAAAGAGCTGAGGCAGAGTCAATTGAAAACTTTGACTGCTGCAGAAACCATTGGTGTTTCATGCACATTCATTCACATACACACACACACACAAACGCATACCGTAATTGTTTTGAGGCCACAGTTTAGCTCTTCACACACATTAAAGGAACCTAAACATAAGAATTGAACAACATAAAAGCTTTTCAAGAAGAAAGCCTGGCCATTAGTGTTACATCTGATGGAAATAATATTACACAGTAGTCTTTCACTTCTGAGGCTGATCAGAAGCTGTATTATATTTACCACACCATGAACATAGTAACCTGAGAAAGAATGTTAGCATAAACCATTAACCCATTGGGGAGAAACTCTGGAAGAGGATTTATCTTTTTAAAAGGAAAATGATCACACTAATACACATGCAAACTTTGAGGAAAACAAGCAGTGCCAAGTAACTGGGGCCAAAACTGAGCCATTCATAGTTATGATACTTGGACTTCAACAGAAAGAATTTCGAGCACGTGAAAATACAACAATAGCTTAGGAAGCCAACTGCAAAAAAAAAAAAATCAACTGAGTATAACTTGGCTATCTGAAAGCACACTTGTGAGAATTAAATGGACCATATTCCAAAAGGCTCCCATACCTAATAAATAGTACTGGAAGACACTGAACGACAGAGGTCTGAGCACATGCAGTCTGCCCTGTGCTTACAAAGAATTGCCTATTCTCAGCTAATGAAAAAACAAGCATGTAAAGTTCTTTATATAAAAATAATCAGGAAAAAAATACCAATTTCTCATCTCCTTCTTTTGTACTTATGTGTCAGTTTTAGAAAGCAAAATTGTCAGGTGACATTGCTCTGTAATAATTTCAATTAAAATAAAGGATGTCACTCTTAATGCAGTTTACAACCTCATAAATAACCAACCTGAGGAGAAAAGAAACAAAACAAAACCAAAAAGCAACCTACCATTTACCCAGCAACCAAATAACAATATGAAAGGTATCACATTCCTCTTTCTATACTTTAGAAATACAGGAGCACTCTGATATTCCAAATATTAGGGGATGCTATTTACTTACAATACTGTTAAGTCCTAACTATGAATGCACTTGACATCTATTGGAAGAGAAAAAAAAATGCACACCCTAATTCATCAGCTTCTCTTTTAAAGCTGACATCGGTCTGTCTCCTTACTGCACGAAATAAAAGGCAAGCTTTCCATTTGCAAGCTCCAGATCGCTCGCTCAATTGCTACACTCAAATCACAGCATGCAAGGCTGCATTCCACCTGAGGACTATTTGTGGCGGCTGCCACGAACAGAGATGTCTCTGCTCACCAGGGGAGAAGGGAGCATTTCAGACTGTGAAGCTGATTGCGCTAGAAGTGTTTGCTAATAGAGATGTCAATGAAGTAAAGGAGTTTCAGTACCTGAGTTAACTAGCTGTTGCTCCATGACCCCGCAGCCCAGGACCTCCATCCATTCTCCTTGGAAGTGGATCTCCATCTCAAAGGAAGGGTGAGTAAATGGGAAGTAGCAGTCTACCCATCTGACTTGCAGTTCTGTAGCAGTGTTTAAAAAATAAATAAATATGAAGGGTGTATGCTTAAAAGGCCATCCCTCCAACCATCTGTAAAAATTGCCCTTCAACTAATGACACCAATTACAGCAATCCAGAGAAAATAAATAGCAAACAAACTAATTTACAACACTTGTGCAAGGTGGTAAATCTTAAAACTTGTGGAAAAAAATGACCATGTCTTTTCTAATATGAAAAACGCTTTGTGCAATTCAAGCACCCTTTGAAACCAAATCAATCATTTGTCAAACTCTAGCAACCACCTGGCATTGAACAAAAATGAGCCAAGATCATGGGAAAGTTAGCAATTTTGTTATTCTTTGCACCAAGAAATGACTAACTACTCCTCACAGGAAAAGCTAAGTCTTTAATTTTTACTTAGAGTTTTATGGATCAGCTAGGCAAGTAATTTTTTTTCCATCAGAACCTATGTAAAATACAAAGCTATTCTTTCTGTATATGTTTAAATATGAAAGTTAAAAATAGATATTAATACACACAAATATAAATATATATACACACAGAGTTGTACATTATTAAGGTATGCTATATACCAACACTCACAGAGTACTCTGGACCCAGGAGACAAGAGTTTAACTTTGTGCGGATGTGAAGCATAAGAGAAAGGCGCCACTGGGTAACTCCCCCTCCTCCCCAGCTCTGCACCTCTGAAGTACCACTGCGCAGAGCGAGGAAACCCCCGGCATCGAAGAGCCACGGAGCCAGAAGAGGCCAAGGGCTACAGTGCTGCCGAAAGCAGAGGTGTTGTCAACGCCCTCATTATATTTGATGAGTTTTAGTTCTTGTAATCATTTACATAAGCTTGCTTTCGCTAAAGAATTTTTTCTAGCCATTAGGTGTCAGGAAAAAGTAGTCTCGGAAACATGAACTGTAAAAACTCAAAAGAGAATCGAACTGCGAATTCTGTGGGCTAATACCTTAACCCCAAGCCCATCTTTCCCTTCGGTTAAGCCAAATGCTAATCAGCGTTAGGCTCATTAACAACCAGGCAGGTACAGTTTTGAAAATAAAGGGCACAGCAAAGGCTGTTTGGGTGATGGTAACTTAACAACCCTGGGTTTAATTTTCGGGCTTTTTTGGTTTTGTTTCATAAAAGGAACTTAAAACATGAAATTGCACAATTTATACTGAGAGTTTTTCAAATTAAAACATTTTGTGTAGCCTCAAGGATTAGATTTCTTTGATTACTTCTGAAACATTAAATGTGGCTACAGAAACTGAAACAGTAAGTTACAACAAAAGCATATGTACATAGCCAAAACATAAAATACCTAATAGTTACCAAAACAAAAACTTTTCTTGATGCTATGAACTTTCAAAGGGAGGGGCACGTTTCAAAACAAACACATTGGTACTTCTAGATTTTCTTTCCTCTCTTAAAAATTAATCTCAGGAAGTTTTAAGAATGATAAGAACGTGTTTTGATAATTGTATACACAGAACTCAGAAAACTGGAAGCATTAGAAATTATACCATCCATAACTGTACTGTGACTTACAGCAATCACTTCACTGGTTTTTTTGTTTGCATAACAATAAAAAAATTACATAGATGAAAAAAAGTCATGTGTATACAACAGTATGGTGTGTGGAAAACATTTTTTTAATTTCCCAATCTTGGTACAAATGCATTTTTAGTTCTAGGGCTGTACAACTCTGCATTCACTGTAAAGCCATGCACATATAAAATATCATCATTTAGCTAGCAAAATTTGCAGCTGCAGCAAGAATCACACTGAATATTCAAGTAGTTTCATGTTCAGTAACATTCGGATAACGGTTTATTTTTAATCCTCTGATTACTTCAAAATGAAGCTCTGGGAAAACAGGATTCCTCTGCTTTTTGTTCTTAGTTAAAATAAACTTTAAAAGGTAAAAAAATGAATTTAAAGCTCTTAATTTTGAATTTTAATGCATATTAGTACTTGAGGCATTTGTTTTAAATGCAAATAAGCAAACAAAAATCTCAATAGAACAAAACAAATTCATGATGAAGAAATAAGTCTCACCTTCATTCTGTTCTCTAAATTAATAGTTAATCCCATATACCACAATAATTTTATTCATACAGTAGCCAGGACAATTGGGAATACCTCTGTAGTTTACATTCAAGTGCTCTTTCAGGCTTTTGGCTCTGGAAGACTTTACTGAAAAGCAGAGGGTGCTCAGCCTTCGGCAAGATTAAGCCTTCTAACTGCATTTCTATAGACTGTCACAGAACAAATGGGTACATTTATTATTTAGATACAAAATATTGTCTTGGTGCTCAATATATTCCAAGGAATAAAGGGCATTGTTCACACTCAGCAAATTAAACCACTAAAGACTCAAAAGGATTACGAAGATTAGGCTTTCTGTAGTACTATATAAATTACCTGGTTAGGCCTAATTTATTTCTTTACATACAGCCTATGAAATGCTGGCAAAAATGACCTTTTCTAGAAATTTTAGGAGGTCAAGAAATGCTTATCTGTCTTAAAACACAGAGGCACTTAAAAGAGCACAGTGCTGATTCTAACCGAAGACAGATCACTAGATACAAACTCAGTAATTTCCCTAGTTTAAAGAGGTGATTTGTATTAGCAGAGGACACTTGCTTGTTTGACAGCCTCACAGCGTTCACGGGAGTCCTTCCAGTGGGTACATGTCTGTTAGTAACTCACATGTCGCATCTCCAATTAGTAAGGAAAAAGTGAATAGTTATCGTTATTTCTGAGCACTGAATCCAGGTAAGGAATTGGTCATAGCCTGCACTCAAACGTAATGGTGTTATCAGATATTAAGCTAAACAAGTATCTGTCTGTGCCAGCCTAATTGAGTCTCATCATGAAAAAGGCTTGACCAAAGGCACTAAAAAAAAAGAAAAGAAAAAAAAAACCCAACACATTAAAGCAGCCTATTGCTACGCTACAGCACAGAGCCAGAGACCCAGATGGTCTTCACTGACCAGAAAATCTGTGAGGATTATTTTTAGAGAAGGTGTCTATGGGAGCAAAAGGAGAGGGGTGCAGGGCAGGTGCTGGGGAGCACAGAAGGTATTAAGCCGTGGCCACTTGAGGTGTGTGTTGATTTTTTAGTACTCTGCACCTCATTGCTTCAGCTAATTCATCTCACTTGCAGTAGACAGGAGCTAGCTGCCCATAAACCTATGTTAGCTCACATTATTATTAGCCAGACCATTGTGTCCTCGATAATTTTTTTTCTTTTTTAACTCCTTACACTCCTAGATCTCCATCACTCGAAGGAGATATCAGTACAACAGAGTTAAAAAGAAAAAAAGAGCAGAACAATGTGTTTGATTTAAAAGACATCCAGTGGCTGTTCAGTCAGAACCAGCAGTGGCAGAACCATCAGTCAAAGCACGGCATTACTCACCCTCCCGCCTTCTCTTACCGGTGCCTAGAACTGGGTAGATAAATATGGGACAGCAGTGAAGTCTGGGCCATCTAATGTAAAGCAACAAATCACAGAACCAGCACACAGTCTTTCTTTTCTATTTGCTATAGTAAGATTACTTCTGAATCTCTTAGGGTCCAGAAAGCTTTTGGCAAACTACAGAAGGGTTAGAGAAAGAACTGGAGTTGGAAAGACTGATTGACTTTATGAGGAAGCCTAAGACAGCTAACCTTGGAAAGCCTCGTTACAAGGTAACTAAAATGAGACAGAACAGACTTCCTACACTGACAGATCTGCATGCGGAGATGGAGGTGTAAGTTAAATTAGTGGATTTTAAGCGTGCACTGTATCTGGAGGTAACAGAAGAAAACTAAGAAAGGTGATCTCTAGGCGTAATATTTGAAATAGCTTCCTGACAGCAAAATCTCATGAAAGAAACTGAAAGTCCATCACTTGTAGAATTTAAAATCAGAGATGGCATACCACTAGAAAATGTCGTAAAAAGAACTATCTTACACTGTCAAGTATTTAAGACAACTGATTGCATGCTCCAGATCTTTCCCCTCTCTAATATCCATCATTCCTTTGCCAGTTGGCAAAGCCAGAAAGAAATAAAAAGACAAACCTTGGGAATAAATGTAGGTGCAAATGTTTATGAAGTCTTTGACCTTCCTCATGATAACCTAGTGATCTTTAAGCAACTTTTATTACATTGTTTACTGGCATGTACAGTCAACACTAAAGTATCCAGGTAGTGTGGGATGAGTCAGGTAAAGCAAAACTGTATCATTAAATATTATGAAAACTAACCTAGTTTAGAACAACACAAGAACAACAACAAAAAAAAAACACCAAAAAAAAAGACAGGTAAGTGATCTGACCTTTCTGCAGAAATCCTGCAGAGACCCTCAATCTATCATCAACCTGAGCTGGTAAATTCCCAGAGAAGCACTGCAGAAGCACAGCTATCCAAGTCCAGGACTTCAGGCCTAAGCTAGTTTACGCAAAACTAAGATGCACAGTAGACTTAACCTGCAATCCAAACTATCTGCCTATGAGTAACAGTTGACTGTACGACAATGCAACATTTCAGTAGCTTACTGCAGCTATGATCACGCTATCCTGCTAGAAAAGATGTGCAACTTCACTGCAATATTCTGCTGACAGCACAGACTGTAAAGAATAAAACTGATGTGAAGTATAAAAGGAATGAAAGTTTTGCTTTTAACAGAACATGGGGCCTTATGGAATATTCACAAGAAGAAAAAATACAGAATTTTTCCAAGAGCAATAAATACAGTAAAATACATTTAAATTTTAAGTTAAAATCTAAGGGAGTTGAGACACAAACGTAATCAAAAATATTGTGTAAAGTGCAGAGTAAAATGAAAATTAAAAGATGGCAGCTGCCAAAAGACAAATTTATTTATGTATGCCGCAGGTCACTTGCACTGCACCCATCTCATACGTCTAGTGCCTAGCATGAACTTTGCTTCTTTGAATATTACTTTCCAGTTTGTACTGAGAGGATACAAAAAGATC